AACACAGCGGCGAGCAGCGCGTTGCCCACCACCATCCACAGCGGGTCACGGGCAGCAAACACCGACAGGAAGTACGGCAGCGCAACGGTGCTCGCACGCTCCTGCGCCGAGGCGCATGACATCCTCGCAAACACGCCGAGCGCCTGCATCTCCAGAATGGAGCCCAGCCCGCCGGTCACCACCACGGCAACAGCCGCCGCACCCGCAACAACGCCGGTGATCGCCGAGAGGGCGCTGGCAGCGGCGGGCAGCGTGTCGGACCTGATCGTGAAGGACCCAAGCAACACACCCCTGCAGCCGCCGAAAACAGCCACAGCGTCGCAGCGAATGAATATCGTCTCGTCGGCAGCAATGAAGTAACCGCGGTGCACGGGCACAGCCAGCTCCAGGACGGTGGACGGATTCGTCGCGTTGCGCACCCACGTCGCGTTGCTCAGCATCGCTCCCCACGGACCACCGAACCCTCTCGGCTGCGCCGTCGACACCGGCACAAAGCTCAGGTGCGTGCCGAGCTGCGGGTCGCGTGCCCACCGAAACGGCGGCGGCAGCGCCACCATCAGCCGCGTCGGGACGACGCTCCCACCGCCGCGAATGTCGCTCTGCGTCAGGCTGCCGCCAGCCGCCGTCGTCGTCACAGCGAGCGTCGGGCACGCCACGTCGCTCCACCACAGCGTGCTGCTCACCGACGCCGTCGGGGTCCGCGTGGGCGCCACCACCTCCGTCTGACTGTACTGCGTCGGACTGTATTGCGCCGTGCTCATGCCCGGCGTCCACGTTGTTGTCGGGCTGCGCGTCTCCGTCAGCGTTGCCGTGTGGCTCAGCAGCGGCATAGCGGGCGTGCGGTTGCACCCGTCCACGCGCGGCAGGTACACCGGCAGGCAGTCGCGCCCGTACCCGCCCTCAGCACAGCGGCAGCGGCACGACCGCGACATCGCCCTCGTCGCAGCAGCAAAGCAGTGCACGTCGGCGTCGCACACGCCACACGCCACGGAGCGGAATTCCCCGATGATGCCGGCGGACCTGTAGTTGATCGGCCGCAGCGCCCGCCCGTTGAGCGTCAGGCACCCAACAACAAACTTGCGTCCGGCGCCCACAAGCGCAACGGTGCCGTCCATCACGACGGGCCCGCTGCCAGCGTTTCCGTGAAGCGTCAGCGTGCTCCGCACGAGGTCCGCACTGCGCGGGTACGACGGCACAGACAGGAGCCTGCCGCTGATGCTGTTGCCGCGCACCGACAGCCACGACCCGGACGCAAACGACGCCGACCCCCGCAGCACCAGCAGCGCGCCATCGGTCAGCACACCGGCGTTGTCGTTCACCACGACGGCGGACGCGCTGGCCTCCACCCCGCTGCCAAACACCAACCCATGCGCGGCGTACACCTGGCTCCCCGACACGCGCAGCACAGCGCTCCACGACGCAACCACGCGCGCACTCGCGTACAACGCATATTCGCCACCGAGCACAGCCGCGTCCAGCGCGACACCGCCACCGACAAGCTCCAGCACCGCGCCGTCCACCACCACCGTCCGCCCACCAGTCATCACGGTCACGAGGGCAACGCCGGACACAACCAGCACGGACCGCACGAGTCGCAGACCCGACAGCACCAGCACCGGTGCGTACGGCGAGGACCGCGAGCCGGGAAGATACACAAGCGGCGTCGGCCTCGCGGCAACCAGCAGGGAGTCCGTCACCGTCAGCACGGACCCCGCGGGATACGTCCCGGTCAGCACAAGCGCACCGTTCAGCGCCTCCACGTCGCACACGGACAGCTCCACCGGCCCGCTCTCGTCGCTCCCATCCGCTCTCGCACCGCGCAACCCTCCACCGCCCATCACGTACAGCACGGCACCGTTCAGCAGCGACACGTTCTGCACAACGATCCGCACGCCATCCCGCGCCATCCACGGCACGTACAGCACCGGACTCACACCGTCCAGCACAACGTGGCGCAGCGTCACCTCGCTCGCGCCGGCAGGCACAACGAACACCGACCGCACCGTCACGCCCTCGCGGAAGAACGCTCTCGACGCAGTGCCCACGGCAGGCGGCAGTGCAGGAGCGCCCACAGGCACGCACGCCTCGCCGTACCCGCCGCTGCCGCACGCGCACACGCACACACCGTTCCTCATGCTAGCAGACGCCGTCCCGGGCGCGTAGCAGTGCGTGTTCCCGTCGCAGGCGTCGCATCCAGCAACGTCGATGCTCCCAGCGTCGCCAAAACCAGCCGCTGCGTACTCCTCCGCCGTCGACAGGACACGTCCACCAGCGTCGTTGCACGCCACCCTCAAATGCGCCCCAGCCGCAAGCGACAGGCTCAGCGACAGCATCCGTGGCAACAGCGCTCGGTTGCGCACAAAGCTCAGCGTGCTCCCAGCAGCGGTCACGGTGCCAGCGGCGTGGAGCATCTCCCTCGAGGCGCCGTCGTGCACGTTGCTCTTCGCCAGCAGCATCGACCCGTCGGCCAGGCTCACCGTCGAATAAAACGCCACCGCGTAGTCCTCCGTCGACAAAAAGTCGCTCCGCAAAAACGCCACAGCGGAGCCCGACACGCTCACAGCCCCACGCACAGACACCGCGTGCTTGCACAGCAGGAAGTCGCTGTCAACAAACGCCACCACGGAGCCACCACTGGCCGCAAAACCGCCCTCCACCGACACGCACAGCCCCAGCGCCGTCTGCACCAACAGCCCGTCCACGTACAGCGCTCCGCGCGATGACAGTGCCACGCCGCCAACAAACAACACGCCAACAGCGTCGCGTAACACCGCCGCCACATGCGTGCGCGCAATCGTCAGCACGCTCCCCGTCAGATTCACGTTGTGCACCACGAGGCACGCGGAGAGGTCGCCAAGGCCGTAGACGCCGCGGTACGCAACGCGCTTCTCTGCGATCAGCACCGAGTCCACCACAGTGACGCGCGAGCCCGGCGGGAATCGGTTCGCCACCACCACGCCGCCGCCGGAACGCAACTCAAGCCCGCTGATCAACACATCGGCACGCTCGCCAGCAGGCGGGTCGGACAGCCACCCGACAACGTACAGGCTCGCTCCGCCCACAAACGTGCAGTTCGCCAGCGTCACGTTGCGCACGCTCCCCGACATCGACTCCACGTCCACCACTACGTCCGCCGCAAAGGTCACACCAACGAAGCACGCCACCGAAGTCCCGAAACCGGCGCTCAGCTCCACATCCACACGCACGTCCCGCACGCACAAGTCGGCGCCGTCGGTGCTCGGTGGCTTGGGAACAGCGACAGGCAGGCATGCATCGCCATAGCCGTCCTCAGCGCACCTGCAGGCGCAGCCATCACTCGAGGCCGTCGTCGTGTACGCGGGGAAGCACGACGCCGCAAGAGTGCATGGATCGCTGCAGGTCAGGATAGTGGCATTGTACACGGACGGAATAATGTATCTCGCCTCCTCCTCACCGTTCACAGTGTTGCACTCAAACAAAATCACTCCGTTCGTGAGATCGCTGGACCCGATGGATATCAGCAGCACGTCCAGCGTGACCGTGCTGGAAATGAATCGGTTGCCGGACACAGACACCGTGGAGTCGCGGAGATTCAGTTTGGGGAGAAGAAAAGCAAACGCATCCACTGGTGATACGCGGCACAGGTTGCCGCTCAGCTGCAGCCAGGAGTTGTAGTAAATGTTCGAGGAGTAGCTTGAATAAAACACAACCAAGCTTCCCTGCATGTCGTTGCCCTGAAACACAACCGCCGAAAAAGACTCCACGCCTAAGGTCCACAAAAATAACATGAAGCATTGCACCGGCCTCGTCACAACGTTGCCTCGGATTACCACTGCAGAGTTGTTCAGTACACTCAGTGACGAAGACTGCATAGACCCCTCAAGATATATCAGCGTACCGTTAACGCCAGTCATATGAAACTTGTTGCCCACCACAGCAAACACGGAGTGCCACAACACCCTCAGCGAAGATCCAACGACGTGAATGGCGCATGACGATGCCATCTCGGTCTGAAAAGTATTGCCGCTCAGCGCCACCGCGGAGTCGTTGCTGATCACCAGTCCATTCATCGCGACACACGACGGCCTCCCAAGTTCCAAACCCGACCGAGGGATCAACCTTGTGACAGTAAAGCGGTTCCTGCTGATCGTGATGTTCGTGTGCGGCGGAAACACACCCTCCGGGCTGAGCAGCGCGTCACTAAATGTGTTGCCGGTGACGACGATGTTCAGCGACTCCACGGTGGCGTACGCGTTGCCCAACAGCAACAGCACGGCACCGTCCCTCCACGTGCAGCCATCGAACGTGACATTCGCCACGTCGCCCGCCATCGCCCCGACCAGCACCGTCAGGCTCATGCCGCCCCCGCTGAACGTCACGTTGCGGTAGCACAGCCACGACAGCCCGCCGCCCACTGCCTGTGCCACCTCGGGGTACACCATGTCGCTGATGCACTCACCAACCGGCGGAGGTGGCGGCGGTGACGGTGGTGGCAGCGGACCAGCAGGCACAGGCGCCGGGACGCACACATCGCCGTGACCTCCAGCAGCGCAGCGGCAATTGCAGTCGCTGACCGCCGTCGTCAGCGGGGCAAAGCAGTTGCCGTCCTTCGTGCACTCACCGCACGCAGCAACCGTCGTCACGTTATTAATGCCGTGGAGCTCCAGCTCTGCCGCCGTAGTCAGCACACGTCCCGCGACCGTCAAACACCCAGCAACGAACCGGTAGCCGCTGTCAGCCCGCGATAGCAAGGGTCCCGACAAGCCCGTCGAGCCCATCTTGCAGCTCGACAGCGTCACCACACTGCTGCCGTCAATGACCAAAAAGCTGGATTCAGTTGCGTAAAACAGCGCACCCACTTCCACGTCGTTGTCGCGCCAGTCCAGCCAGCTTGACCGCTCAACGGCCCACGAGTTTAGTGAATAGATGGCATAGGACAAAGGGCCGCTGTTCCCCACCACGCGCAACACGCTGTGATCCGACACGCTGAATACTTGTTGCTGATAAAGCAGGCTTACCCCGGAGAACATCGTATTGTTGAGCAGTGCAAAAACAGAGTGACTGTGGACACTCAGTCTTTGCATATAAAACAGATGCATGTACCCATCGAAACTGCAGTACCGCACGTACAGCGAGCTGCCACTCACCAGCATCAGCGTCCCGATCGAGTACAAACCAAACGCATCGTGCTTCGTTGCATGCGCATTGACATTGCTGACCAACAGTGAGGACGCATTCAAAACAACTTTCCGCAACATCACGACGCCAAACGTGTTGCTGATAGTATCTGCGAACTGGACAATAGAAGACTGCACCGCACCAACCTCCGTGACGGCGATGTCGCAGTGCTGCGGGAGGGCAAGTGCAAACACAACGACAGAAGACCGCATCACCATCTGGCTCACGCGGATCAGGACGCCGGCTGACTCCGCCGCCTCAGCACCCCCAACAAACCGCAGCACGACGCCCTCATGAAATGTGCACCCAGTGAACGTGATGTTGATGGGGAGATGCAGCGGCATACTGTTGAGAGAGAATGTCAGCACGGCACCCACGCCGCCGAATGTCACATCCACGTAGCAGTGGTGCGTCTTCCACATGTTCAGCGTGAGGTTCGTCAGCGTCTGGTTCACCACGCAGCTCGTGTCGCCGTCAACGGCTCTCTCCGGCAAAGGCGGCACAACCGTGTCGGGCACCTCGAAGGGAAGACACGACGCGCCATGCCATCCGTCCTTGCAGCTGCACGAGCACGAGCTGCGGTCCACCGACTCCGTCCCGGGCATGTAGCACGCCGCGTCCTCGTTGCATGTGACACACCAAAACACCAACATGCCCTCCGGAAACACACCGTCGTACGACACCTCCTCACCGCCCTGCAGGTTGCACCCAAACACAAACTTCGCGGGGGAAGCCACAATAGTGTCTGATGAGGCCAGATCAGCAAAAGAATAAATATCGTCCATCTGAAGGTTGTTTGCAAGCACCACAGTAGTGCCGCTGTCCGACAGCTGAATTTTGTGGTGGGCATGTGCTATAATTAATACTAAGGCTTCGCCCACGTTGTTGCCCTCCACACGCCACTGCGCACCACCTTCGAGAACAACCGAGCCCTGCAAAAACAAAAGCGTGGAATCAAAAACCTCCGTTCTACCAACAAAGTCGCATTCCGCCACCCGCAGCAGCCCCGCGGACCTCACGACGGTATCCCCAAATAAATAAACGCCATTGACCGCGCTCATCGTGTTGTTCTCCACGTCAAAGTAGCCACCGCTATTCAAAACAGTGCAAACGCAAACGGACGACTCCACACCGTCCTCCTCCTCCCTTGCGATCAACGTATTTCCTTTCACAATGGTCCTGCCACCATCAACAATACCAATGGAAAAATAGACTGTATACATATTCGCCTCGATGTTGTTGTCAAGTACCAGCAGCGTCGAGTTCGCTCCAAGAGAGGGCAAATAAAAAGCAATAGCGTGGCTCGACGTCGTCGCAAGCGTACTGCCCGCCACCAGTATCAGGGAGCTCAAGCCAAAATCACCGGCAAACTCCAATGCACCAGAATCCAGCAACGACGATGCCACGCTCACGTGCACACGCGCACCACTCCCCTTGATCGACAGGCCCATAAGGACGCACTGCAGCAGCGTGATGTTGAGTGTCCGTTGTGATGCGTCGAAACGCGACAGGTCCAGAACAATCGCGGCGGTAAAAGTCACGTTGACAAAGCACAGACCACGCACACCGGGATCAGGATCGTCCACGGAGCTGATGATGCCACCGTGCACGCAGCGGACCTCCGTGTCATTCGCATCGGGGAGCGGGAGCGGCCCAAGGCCGTCCGGAACCGCAGCTGGCAGGCACGTGTCACCGTAGCCGCCAGCAGCGCACTCACACTCACAGCCGCGGATGCTGCTCGTCCTCGCTGCAAAGCACACGGCGTCCACGGTGCACGCACCACAGTCCAGCGACGTCACGGGCGCCCCAATATTAAGCTCTTCTTGGTAATCCGTCACAGGAGAGCCCCTTAGCTCGTTGCACACGCCGTAGATGGTCGGGCGCAGTTCGGATTGTGGTGACCAGTTGCTTGTCATGTATGCAATGGTTGACGAGTACGAGCCGTACATGAGGCTGTTGTGAAGTATCGACCACACACTCCGATCGCGGAACGCCACGCCGTTCTCGTTGGCCACGTACACAACGTAGACGGTGCGGAACTCGTTGTCGCGGTGCACCAGCCAGCTGCCGCCACTCACAGTCAGCGTGTTTGCAATGAGCATGGCGAAACCGAGACGGAACTCGCTGGACACAACCTGCAGCACGCTGCCGCCAGCCACCGCAACATCCCTGAACATACACGCGCCCTTGTAGTATCCGGTGCTCGGCGCACTCCACGAGCTGTTCTGTACGGAGAACACGGAGCCGCCGCTGACACGCAGTTCCGACGCAAGAGCGTACATCACGTGCGTCCGCGACCTGACAGCGCAGTTGTCCATGTAGAAGACGCTGGACAAGTTTGCGACAAAGCTGCGCTCCACGAGGATCGCAGCGCACGATTCCCCGCCACACACCAGCAACGACCGCGTCATGACAAAACGCGTCGACAGAAGCCGGACGCCATCCAGGACAAGCGCGGGGCCGTACCGAAATTTCTCGTGGCCAATGGTCGTCGGCACGTACTGCGACCCGCCAACCGTCGCACGCAGCGTTGAGTTCGCCAGCAGCACACTCGAGTTCAGCGGCATCGCGCCACGCAGCACGATCGTGCCCTCCAGCGACGTCACGTTTGTCATGTTGACGAGGGCGTGGGGCATCAGGCGCGCAGTGCTCTCGCTGAGGCCGCCAATCCGCAGCTGCGCGCCGCCCGCAAGCACGCAGTGGCGCAGCGTCACGTTCAGCGCGTCAGCGAACGCGTCCATCGAGCGCAGGTCCACCGCCACAATGATCGGCCCGCTGAACACCACCGAGTCGAAGCACGCCGTCGCACGCCAGCCGCCAACCGTCACCGACTCCGTCAGCGTCACGCCACCCACGCAGCCCCCCGCAGCACCGCCACCACCGCCGGCCCTCGCAGGCGGCACGTCGAACGGCAGGCACGCCTCGCCCACGCCGCCGGCACGGCAGCTGCACACGCAGTCGGAGAACGACGCCGTCAGCGCATCAAAGCACGCCAGCGCTGCCGCACAGCCGTCGCACGGCACCACGCTCACGGAGGACAGGCCAGCCATGCGGTAGTCGCCGCTGCTCAGCAGCACCCGGCCGCCGGCACGGTTGCACTGCACCGACACGACGCCGCTCGTGATCACCAGCCCGGAGACAAGCGTCGCGCCATTGGCAGCGCAGCGCGCAATCGACACGGTGCCGCCGCTCAGCGTAACCCCCGACAGCGACGCCACCGACGACGCCTCGCCCACCGCCCACACGTCGCGCAGCTCCACCCACCCGCCGCCACCGACCGTCCCACCGTCGCAACGCACCAGCGACGACGCAACAGACCCCTCGACGCCCACGAAGCGCAGCACCGAGTCAGACACAGTAACACGCTTTCCAAGCACAAGGCCGCAGCCGCTGCTCACAACCGACACGTTCGTCACGGAGAACACCGAGTGGCTCCGCAGGCTGAGACGCGACG